AAAATGACATAATATAGTAAGGCATAAAAATGACATAATATAGTAAGGCATAAAAATGACATAATATAGTAAGGCATAAAAATGACATAATATAGTAAGGCATAAAAATGACATAATATAGTAAGGCATAAAAATGACATAATATAGTAAGGCATAAAAATGACATAATATAGTAAGGCATAAAAATGACATAATATAGTAAGGCATAAAAATGACATAATATAGTAAGGCATAAAAATGACATAATATAGTAAGGCATAAAAATGACATAATATAGTAAGGCATAAAAATGACATAATATAGTAAGGCATAAAAATGACATAATATAGTAAGGCATAAAAATGACATAATATAGTAAGGCATAAAAATGACATAATATAGTAAGGCATAAAAATGACATAATATAGTAAGGCATAAAAATGACATAATATAGTAAGGCATAAAAATGACATAATATAGTAAGGCATAAAAATGACATAATATAGTAAGGCATAAAAATGACATAATATAGTAAGGCATAAAAATGACATAATATAGTAAGGCATAAAAATGACATAATATAGTAAGGCATAAAAATGACATAATATAGTAAGGCATAAAAATGACATAATATAGTAAGGCATAAAAATGACATAATATAGTAAGGCATAAAAATGACATAATATAGTAAGGCATAAAAATGACATAATATAGTAAGGCATAAAAATGACATAATATAGTAAGGCATAAAAATGACATAATATAGTAAGGCATAAAAATGACATAATATAGTAAGGCATAAAAATGACATAATATAGTAAGGCATAAAAATGACATAGTATAGTAAGGTATAAAAACGTCAAAAAACGGCATAGTATAATCAGGCATAAAACGTTATAGTATAGTAAGGCATAAAAACCTATTGTATAGTAAGGCATAAGAACGTTAAAAAATGTCACAGTATAGTAAGGCATAAAAGGTCAACAAATGTCATATTATAGTCAGGCATAAAAACGTCAAAAAACGTCATAGTATAGCAAGGCATAAAAACGTCAACAAACGTCATAGTATTGTAAGGCATAAAAATGTCATACTATAGTAAGGCATAAAACGTTATAGTATAGTAAGGCATAAAAACGTCATAGTATAGTAAGGCATAAAATGTTATAGCATAATAAGGCATAAAAACGTCTTAAAACGTCATAGTATAGTAAGGCATAAAATGTTATAGTATAGTAAGGCATAAAAACGTCAAAAAACGTCATAGTATAGTAAGGCATAAAAACGTCATACTATAGTAAGGCATAAAACGTTATAGTATAATAAGGCATAAAAACGTTAAAAAACGTCATACTATATTAAGGCATTAAAATGTCAAAAAATGTAATACTATAATAAGGCATAAAAAAATCAAAGTACAGTAAGGCATAAAAACGTCAAAAAACATTATAGTATAGGAAGGCATAAAAACGTCATAATATAGTAAGGCATAAAACGTTATAGTATAATAAGGCATAAAAACATCATAGTATAGTAAGGCATAAAAACGTCATACTATAGTAAGGCATAAAACGTTATAGTATAATAAGGCATAAAAACGTCACAGTATAATAATGCATAAAAATGTTAAAAAACGTCATACTATATTAAGGCATTAAAATGTCAAAAAATGTCTTACTACAATAAGGCATAAAAAATCAAAGTACAGTAAGGCATAAAAACGTCAAAAAACGTTATAGTATAGGAAGGCATAAAAACGTCATACTATAGTAAGGCATAAAACGTTATAGTATAGTAAGGCATAAAAATGTCATAGTATAGTAAGGCATAAAACGTTATAGCATAATAAGGCATAAAAACGTCATAAAACGTCACAGTATAGTAAGGCATAAAATATTATAGTATAGTAAGGCATAAAAACGTCATAGTATAGTAAGGCATAAAAACGTCAAAAAACGTCATAGTATAGTAAGGCATAAAACGTAATAGTATAGTAAGGCATAAAAACGTCAAAAAACGTCATAGTATAGTAAGGCATGAAAATGTTAAAAAACACCAAATCATACTTTAGTAAGGCATTAAAACGTCAAAAAATGTCATACTAAAATAAGGCATAAAAATCATAGTATAGTAAGGCATAAAACGTCATAGTATATTAAGGCATGAAAACGCCAAAAAACATCATACTATAGTAAGGCATAAAAACGTCATAGTATATTTAGGCAAAAAAAGTCATAGTATAGTAAGGCATAAAACGTAATAGTATAGTAAGGCATAAAACATAATAGTATAGTAATATAATAAAAACATCAAAAAAAGTCATAGTATAGTAGTGTATAATAACGTCAACCTCCCACTCAACTAGTTTTTGGAACTGCTAGCCTTCAGTCAGCAATTCCCAGTCCACCTAGTCCTGATCTTGATTCCTCATGCATCAGCAGTCCTGCCATCATCAGGTCCTCATTTCCAGTCGGTGGTCTGGTCAACACCAGCTTCAGGCCTTCCATTAGTGGCCTGGCCAACTCCTGCGCTTGATCCTCGGTCAGCAGTCTAGCCGACACCTTATCCTGCTTCCCAGTTTGCAGCCTGAACAAATCTGCCCCTCACTTCCAGTATGCTGTCTGGCCAAAATCTGCTCCGGTTTTCCCGTTGGCGGCCCAGCCAACAACAGCTCCTCAACTCGTTGAACTGGTTACTATTATATTTAGATTTTTTTCAATCAACTGTTTGTCTGTCTGTCCTCCAGTTTTCATTTCATGTTACTTTTCTTAATGCTATCTTTCTCAGCACTCTTCTGACCCCTCACCCACAACCACACATACAATCATGCCATCTCTTTTTCCAAGACTATAGTGACTCTTCTCTCTCCAAAGATGTGGTATTAAACTTTGCTCAATCATAGCCATTGCCTGAATCTGTATTTCTGGCCCTGTTAGCGGCATGGCTCTAATGATGGCACTATCAATTTATCAGTTGATAAATCAACTAAAATATTTGGTCCAGACTTAAATATCTTAAAGTGAATAAAAATAAAGCTCTGCTTGTGGGTCTGTTAGGGTGTATTTTGGCACAGCTATGCTTTAAGCTAAATTCTCATGCTAGAATGGCAACATACACAAGGTGCCAATGCTAACATGCTGGTGTTTATAAGATAAAATGCTTAGAGTGTCCATAGCATCTTTGTATAGCATTAATATAGTGGTCAATAGTTTGAAATGAGCCAGACATACACTAGTTGCTCTATCATCCATCTTTCAGTGATTAAAAATTCAAGTGGCTTCAGTACACTGAGAATATTATAATTCCAAATTTGTAAATTGAGTTTTTGAAAGTCATGAATCTCAGCACATGTTGAAGCATCTTTCCGTTATTGGAACTGATGACCGACTCTATATGCACCGCATAGTTTTTTATAGTCACGGTTTTTGGTTTTGGGGCAGAGAAAAACTTATTTCCCCTTTAAATATTCTGCTCACGCCATGTGTCTGAATGTTTTGACATATCACTCCTGAGCTGTTTTGCCTTCGAGACAGATTAGCGGGCCAGTGATTTGAAAAAAAGCACAATGACCTCAGTAAATAAGTTCAAGTAGTTTGATGAAATCTGTTTGATTACAGTCATTCTTTTCCGCTGCCTCTTTTGTTGTGAACACCTCCTCAGATACTGTTTAATCAGAAGCTGCTGTATTTATGAGCCATTCATCAACACAGTGCTCTCTCCTACTGTTCACTGCTGCACACATTTCCTCTTTATCAGAGTAAAATGTCATGAACTGAGCTCAGATTTCTTTTGGATGGAGTCTTTACTCAGTCAACCAAAGGCTAACTAGCTAATTAGATCTCAGGCTACCTGCTGTGTTTGCCCTTGAGGGAGGCAGTGGTTTAATAACACAGACTGAGTGTGGATTTTTGGGCAATAAATGTGTGTTTGACTGTGTGTGTCAGTGTGTACATGAATGCCTTCCTGCATGGATGCATATACATGTGTGGTCACATTTTGTCACTTTGCATGTGCATATGTTTAGGAGAATCTATGTGTATGTGTTTGTGTATTTGTGTGTGAGTTGTTTATTTATGTAAATGGATGAAGGTTGGTATTTCATATCTTAATGTTAACAATGTTCTAAACTTTAGTTTGTGTTTAATGCTAATGGACAATGTGCTTAATTCCTAACGTTTCAGGTAATAAATTATCTTACAGATGAGTTGGGTGGATATCAATTTATTCAAGGTTCTGTTCTTGCTGAAAATTAAATTTGTGATTTAGTAAACACCCAATTGACTAGTAAACAACCTGATAGGCAGTGATTTGACTCCAATATCCCTATTTATATGATGATATTGGGGCTACAATATCTGAATTTTACATGACCCCATATGACTTTCACAATTATTATATATTATATAAGAAGCTAGATGGAGAGAAAACCACCCATATAGCGTCAGACAAACTCATAATATTCATAAGGTTCATATTATTTATTACACTTCTTGAGGTGTGTTTAAGAACAGAACTGAATGAATGCTTCCAATAAATAAATAAAAATCAACATATTTATAATGATTTTTTTATGTGACTTTTTGAAATAGGAGTAGAGTTGTTAAAATGACTTGATGAAGTAAAAAGTAATAGTACAGTAATGTTTATAGAAAGGCTCCTTTTTAATATCTGTTTGCTGTGGGAGTTGTATTTGTCATTCAAAAATCAACAAAATACGTAACATGCCCAAACCTTTGCATATAACTGTATGTGGAATTCTTCAGTTTATATTATTTACCTACTGTTAGACTGATGTACATTACACAAAGACAAAATTATAATAAGAATATAATTATAATAGGTTCAAATAGTGCCTGATGTCAGTCCATTTGTCATTATGATGTAATAAGATTCAGTTCTAGAATCCCACAGTGACGTGTTAGTGTTCACAATTCCCTGTTCACTGAACAAACGTGGTAAGACTCCAAACCAACAACCACAAAACTGAGAAAAGGTTCTCAGGTTTAAAAAAAAAAATCAAGATGAGTAACCAAGGTGTGTCTTCACAGTCAAGCTCAGTGTATAATGAGCTCCGTCTGCAGAGAACATTTTGTGATGCAGTCATCAGAGTTGAGGATGTCGAATTTCCAATCCACAAGATCATCCTATGTAACTGCAGCACTTACTTCCGGTGAGTTGATTATCTGATCTAGGAGGGAAAAAGATGAATGTATATCCCTTAAATAAGCAGAAAAACAGTTTGTTTTGTTTCTGTTAATGATCTGAGTCTGAGAAACAACTCAATCTCTACAGGGTTATATTGATTTGCAGAGCATTTCTGATAAATCAGGTTTGTCTCAAGAGAAGATATGAAATACCTGATAGACAAAAAAAATGTAATAATTCACAAAGGACTGTTTCAAATGTTTACCAAAGGTGAAGGTTCCCTGTCTGTCTCTACACAGTCAGTAGTTGCAGATATTGATTTAGATGAACTGCCATTTAGGTGGGTACAACTTCTACAATGTGACATTTGGGGGTGTTGTAGTCTGAGTGAAGATTGTTTTTCAAATTGAAGTTAGATTTGTGAAGTTTCTTAATATTGCTTTTTAAAAATTAGTCACATGGAAATGAATTTTCACTGTATATGGGTGTATCAGTCCCATACTACAGTAATATTAAGCAGATTGTTGTATGTAGTTGTAGTATGTGGTGCTCAGAAATCTGCTAAAAAAGTTATTATGCACACTTAAAATAGCTGATTTGTTCATTTACACTATTGTCGAACAATTGAATACACAAAGGAACCGGAGGAGCTGAAAAAACCTGAACTAAATTGTGAATGGTGGTGAAACGTTTCCAGAGAGATCAACTCTAGACTACTAACATACAGGCAGAAAAACAATGCTATATTTTACATATAAAGGAGAAAATCCATTATTCAATTGATTGAACACCATAAATGTACCCAGACTATTACAATATTTGTGCCCTAGGAGCCTGCAGTGGGCAGGGTTCATTAGCTTTAAAGCTCTGTGTACACTGGGAAATGCTCTATCACAGTCATTTTCACTGCTGTTTTCTGCTAGAATTTTCCTTTTCATTTTGTAACTTGTGTCGCTGAAAGGAATTTATTTTGTTGTCATCAGTGTGAAAATGTTGAATATTTATTTTCACTCTTCTGCTGTGCCTCCATTCTGACCCTCAGAGCTCTCTTCACTCGCTGGTCGACCACGGACAGCAAGGTCTTTTACATACCCGGTCTCTCATCTGAAATGATGAAGCTCATCATTGACTTCGCATACACCAGCTCTGTTTGTGTGACGGAGGACAACGCACAGGGCCTGATGCTAGCAGCCGACCTGCTCAATGTAATGGACGTCGTGCAAACCTGCTCCGACTTCATCAGTGAGCAGCTCTGCCCAGAAAACTGCATCGGCATCTGGCAGTTTACATTTATCTGCATCAGTCCTGGGCTGCAGCACAAGGCCTACAGCTACATCACTGAACACTTTGAGGAGGTTGTTCCCTGTGAAGAGTTCCTGCAGCTCTCTGTGCACGATCTCACTGGAATCCTTGGTAGAGATGATCTCAATGTGAGAAAGGAGAGTACTGTGTATGAAGCCATCATTCGCTGGATCGCCCACATACCTGAAGAACGAGAAGGACACATCGCTGTGCTTTTTTCTACGGTACAATAACTTTCTGTCGCTACATTTAGTCAATATTTACATCTTGGTGAAATCCTGACTGCTTTGGCATATTGCTTCAACACCTGTATCTTGGTTCATTTGGGAAGGACCAAGTAAAAAAAAAACATTATGCACTGTTGCCTTCGAAAATAGCCCCCATTGCCATTTAGTCCTGTTTGAGTAACATTTGCTAAAAACTACAGTGCCCATTTGTTTTAGGAAATCATCTAGTTTCTGTTCAATCAAAGTATCAGTGGGACAAAGGTTTGAAAGATGGACTATCACATTGTTGTTTTTGGTCTTTTCATGGGAGTTGTTTTACAATAACAGAAATACTGAAAAAAAACACCAGACTTGTACCATAAAGATAAAATTAGAGCTTTGGCAGACTTTAGTAGGCACAATAAATGGTTAAAAAATATCATGTCAACATGCTGAACATCAGTAGTTGAGTTGAGTTTCAGTCAGGTAGATTCTGTCCTCTTGTGCCTGTGTAGGTTCGGCTGGCCCTGACAAGTGCAGAGTACATCAGGATCCATGTGTTGTCCAATGAACTCGTGAGGAACAGCACTGAGTGCCTGCAAGTAACCCACAATGCCATCCAAACCTTGTATCACATCATCACAAACAGGCCCACGGTATCTGGTCTCTGTGGCCCTATTGCCCGTCCTCGTCTGCCTAATGCCATCCTGTTGGCCATTGGTGGCTGGAGCGGCGGCGATCCAACTAATGGCATTGAGGCGTACGATATCAACGCTGACCGCTGGATCAACGTGACAAACAATCTGGAGCGTCCCCGTGCCTATCATGGCACTGCTTTCCTCAGTGGGTATGTCTACTGTGTCGGTGGCTTTGACAGGGTGGAGCATTTCAACAGCGTGCGCAGGTTTGACCTGAGCACACACACCTGGCATGAGGTGGCACCCATGTACTCCCGCCGCTGCTACGTGAGCGTAACAGTGCTCAACGGGTGCATCTATGCCTTGGGAGGCTATGATGGACATAATCGACTCAGCACTGCAGAGCGCTACAGGCCTGAAAGCAACCAGTGGAGTCTTATTGCAGCCATGAACGAGCAGAGGAGCGACGCCAGCTGCACAACACTCCATAACAAGGTTGGTCATTAGTTATCTTCTAATGGTGTAGAAATATTTCGGATCATTTGTGTTGATACAGGGAACACAGTAACCAGTTGACACCAAGAAATGTGCTACCTAACTTATTGTCCTCCTTTTCTCTTCAGGTTTACATTTGTGGTGGTTTCAATGGGAATGAATGCCTCCACACAGCTGAATATTATAATCCAGAAACCAACCAGTGGACATTGATCACCCCCATGAACAGCAGGCGCAGTGGAATTGGAATTATTGCATATGCAGACCATGTCTACGCAGTAAGTACATGAATGAAAACCACATGCAATCACGTATCACACAAACTGTGTTAAGTGAAAGGATTTGGTCAGCAGCTGTTTTAGGCCGGTTAGACTGACTTGGTGGTATGTATGACCTTTATCTTTTAATTTAGTTGATTAGTGATGTCACTGTTCTATGTACTTGAAGAAAACAAATGTACAGAAAGACTATATCAGTGACCAGCAGATCTATTCCACAAGAATCTCCAGCCATTCTAGCAGCTTTGTAAGGCCGTACAGCGCAGTGCTTGGAGCTAAATGCTAACATGTGCGCACTGATCTTATATTTGCTAAATATTAGCATGCTATTGTGCTGATGTTTAGCAGACATAATATTAACTGTGTTCACAATTTGAGTTTAAAAGGGCTCTTTCTAAGTTTTCTCTGCTGCCAAATGTGGTTTCTTGACCAGGAGTGGTTAGCGGTGATGGTCACTTGCTTCAGCCATCGTTGCTTTTACAGTACAAGAGGTTATAATACGCTCTATGGGCAGCCTTACTTTTTCAGGGTAGACTGAACACTACAGCGACACACTCTCAGAAAGTGACAAGCTGGTCAGCATGCTAACTTTACTTTGCCTATTTACTGACCTATATATATCTACTTATATCACTTTTGTTTTGGCAAAGGACACCTGGGTGATGAGAAACTGTCTCCGTCTCCATTTAACACTTGACCCAATACTCTACTTTTCCTCCCACAGGTTGGTGGCTTTGATGGCAACTCCCGTCTGCAGAGTGCTGAGGCCTACAACCCCCAAACCAACACTTGGCAAACAGTGTCCCCCATGCTGACCCCTCGCAGCAACTTTGGCCTCGAAGTGATCGATGACCGGCTCTTTGCTGTCGGCGGCTTCAATGGCTCCAACACCAGCTTTAAAGTTGAATACTATGATGCTACGACAGATGAGTGGACTGCAGCCTGTGAAATGGAGATCTTCCGCAGCGCCCTCAGCTGCTGCGTGGTGTCCGGACTCCCCAACATGGCCGAGTATGCTTTCCCTCGTGACGCCCTGCCGTTTTTCCTTTCAGAGGATGAGGAGGTGGAGTCAGGGGACTCTGTCTAACACCTTGAAATATGAAATAAACTTCTTTTTGCATCAAATTGTTTTTAACTACAGTGATTTTTATAATGTTTCAGTTTAAGAACTTGTAATTTTGAGGTTTTATAAGTATGCAGACACAGGGTTTGATCCAGAGGGGACCACTGCGACAATAACAGAATAAAGACAGAAAGTCCTGCAACCTGCCTGTGCATGTTATTTTCCAACCCCATCTGTTGTAGCTACATGGCAGTGGAGCGTTGATAAACAGCTGATGCTATTAGATAGTAACGGTTGCATTTTAAATGCATCACATTAAAATTTAAATCACCTTGATTTTAAAATTTATGTTATGTCTAAAGTTGTTATTGTTATGTCTAAAATGTTTAATATCTATTAATATTACTTTGTAGCAGTCACTGGATGCCCCGGTTTCATTGTCCCCCTTTGGTGGAGGGAGAAGGGCCAATTGATCCCCTCCCAGACAATCCTGGCTGGGACATATACATAATATTGAATCCATCCAATTGTTTCCCAAATTTAACCCAAACAGAAAATCTGATCTGAAGAAAATGCGACTGAATGCGCATCTACTACCAAATCTACACAAAGTCTTCCATGTACCAATTCAGGTTTTTCATGCACAAATTGAAAATGTGCATGAAGACAGGTGGATGGAAACACATCTATTGACTGACACGGAGAGACAAAATCAGAGCGCAGGAGTGAAAGAAATAGGAAAAGAGAATAGAGTGAAAAAGAGAGAAAGAGACCTGCAGAGAGAAGCATGTACAGGAATAATGTCAGAGGGATTCAGTCTCAATATAAGTTGGTGCTGTTACATGACTTTCTGGCTGATGTCAAGGACTGGATGTTCCACAATCTCCTCCAACTAAATTTGGACAAAACTGGGATTATTCAGGGGGAAGAAAAGCTTGAATGACTTCAGTCTGTCCTCTGTTTTGCCGCATGCACTCCCTCCTCTCTCTCTCTCTCTCTCTCTCTCTCTCTCTCTCTCTCTCTCTCCGTCTCCCTTAATCTCTCTCTTCCTCTCTTTCCCTCCTCTCTACTCTCTCTTTTGTCTTCCTCTTTATCTCAAAGAAAAAGCATTGGTTGCTCGTTGTTGGGCAGAGTCACCTTGAGGGAAAAAAAAGTGGAGAGCTTGCAATTGTGTGTATGAATACATCTGCATTTGAATATATAGTATGTCAATACGTTTGTTGTTATTATCATTGATGGGGAATAAGCAATGTTCATTTTCATTCACTCGAAGCATAACCGGCCTCGTCATTTTGACTGAGATTTTACGCCTCTAAAAACATTTAAAAACATTTTATTTCCTCTCACTTTGTCTTGAGTATTACACATATTTTTCTGCTGAGTAACTGACCTTCAGACTTTGTGAGTTTGTACATGAGCGTAACATTTGCGGCAAGAAATAGACTGTATTTATCACTGCAACCGTCACACAACACATGAAGGCAAAGCAAGGGGGAGCGGTGCAGCTATTGTGGTCATTGTCGTCTTGTTGTGACTTAGCAGTATCCACCCTGACAAGGCTTAGAAGGACACCGGAGACAGACTTCAAAATGCTTATCAGGGTTTAATGCTCTGTCTTTTTTAAGGAACAGCGCCAAAAAAATATGATGTGGAAGGACATATAGTACGTACTGCATCAACAGGTCACCTCTCTCTCCTTCGCTATGCATCTTGTTTACCATCTCCTTCTTCTTCCCAGAACTGAGGTCTTAATTCTTCTTTCAGGTTAATAAGTTTGTGCGTTTTGTGTTAGTGCTGGTGTTCTTTTCTGTAACACGTTTAGACCTAAGTTTTTTTTTCTTTGTTAAAATAATGGCTTAAGACTTATAGCCAAGTTTCTCTCTGCGTGTCTCAGCAGAAATCCAGATTCATCAGACCAGGCCATGTTCTTCCAGCCCTCAGGATTGGAACCTGATGTGGTCTTCTGCTGCTGTAGCCCATCCACTTCAAGGTTTCGACGTGTTGTTCATTCCGACGCTTTTCTGCTCACCACAGTTGTAACGAGTGGTTATCTGAGTTACTGTAGCCTTTCTGTCAGCTCCACATGATTGGCTGATTGGATAAATGTATGAATAGGCAGGTGTGTAGATGTTTTCTAATAACATCTACACACCTTCATTTTCCTTGCTTTCTACAGTGTCTGAGAATGACCAGGCAGGTTAGGGAAGTATAGTGATCATAGCAACTAAACTGTGGTTAAGATGCCCTAACCATATGGTTATGGTTAGGCAAACAAAAACACTTGTTTAAAGTTGAAGAATGACAGTAGTCATGGCATATAAATAAAGCACAGCATCAGCTGAGGCAGAGCAACAAAGTCGCACTTGTAATATCTGATTGGCAACAGCTGTTTCATTCATGCTTAACAGTCCCTTGCTAATTTGCAGCTTGTAACATTTAAAGATGTTCATGGAGGTGTTATAACCTCGTACTTCTCACTATTACTCTGTTGATGTGCCCTGCTCATATAAATACAGTTCTCTGCTGCAGCTCCCTCCTTCACCTGAACCTCCTTCTTATGTGCTATATTTTTGGTGTAGTTGAGTTGTAGAGTTGCAAGAAAGATAATAGCCATGTATGTTTATTAAGGGAGATTAGTTCTCTCAGTGGATTCTTTACGAATTCTCCCAATGGGCAGAGTCCTTTCTGCAAAATCTGTAGAACTGTATAAAGCTGTATAAATTTGCCAAAAATGTTCAGTTCCTTAACAGAAGTGTCTCTGACTGAACTGTCTGTGCAACTGCTTTCATTCAGAATTGTGTATATATATATATATATATATATATATATAAATATAAAATTAGCAGAGCATTTGCACACAGCAGTATATATCTGAAATAGGCTCATGCATGCGTGTGTCTCTAGAAGATGTGATGAAAGGTCGTATACAAATACAGGATGACAATCCCAACTATTACACTGACTACACACACACATACACACACACACACACACACACACACACACACACACACACATTTGGAAGGAGTCCTGACATGCACAAAGCACAGAGGTTTTTAAAAAATTATTAGCTAAAGTTGCTTGGCTGATGGTCGATGTTCTAAAAGCCCTTTGCAATACAACTTTAATAGCACTGGCAACAGGGTACACACACACACACACACACACACACACACACACAGCCATTTTCTCTTCCCTTATTTGCAATGTCTGGTTTCTCTGTCTCTTCTACTTTCTGTCTCTGTTTCTCCTTCATCTGTCTGCCTGCTCTGTAGCCGAGGGCTAACACTAAAATACAGATTGTCGCTCATAAAACCAGTGAAAAACACACAACCAGTTATTGTTCTGTGTGAGCGACTGTCAGTGAACTGACAAACGACACAGAATTTGTGCTTCGCTGACACAGTTAGATCATGACATCATAAGTGTAGAGCCTGTGTGTGTATATGTACAGTGTGTGCATGTGAGCATGTGTAAATGCGCCGGCATGTTTGTGTATCTTAAATATTGTGCGATCTGATAATAATATTAAGCCAAACCTACTATGTTATGTTTCAGCATGTGGCCTGTATGTGTGTATGTGCGAGGTAGAAGAGGGGTTATATACGAATGTGTGTGTGTGTGTGTGTGTGTGTGTGTGTGTGTGTGTGTGTGTGTGTATACAGTGCCTGAGGGCTTTGTTCTGTACTGGTGCAATAAAAGACACATTAGAGAAAGAGAGAGATTACAGGAAAAAAAAAAAACATCATCAGCCATAAATGGTGTTTTCTTTTTTCATCTCACAGAAAAAAAACAATAAATCTGTGTGGGTGTGAGAAGCAACAGAGCAGAGTTTCACATGATACATCTGCCTGGAAATCCCTAGAAATGCAATGAGCCACAGCAACATACATTTTTGTGGAATATAACAGTGTGTTTGTTGTAACATAATGAGACAAATATTCTACAGCCTGAAATGTACCACTGTATAAGCTGTGGCACACTGTTGGTCGCATGTGAGGAGAAAAAAAAATATTGCACCCAGGTGTAAATAGTCTCATGGCAGCTATTCAGCTATTTACACCCATATGGAACGCCAAATGGCTCTTAAAACACCATCTTTTTTATATCGTTACAAAATGGTTCACAGGACCGTGCATAATTTTGCAACGCGTCATACTAGCACCATACACTGAGTGGTGTCTGCCACTATCAGATCAGACGCCTATTCAGGTGAGATAGTATTAAAAGTTCTCATTTACTTATTGTTAGATTTAGTCGGCTTGTTTTTAGTATTATAATTATTATTCTATTCAGTTGCAGTTTGGTTAGCTTTAGATAGAAAAAACTGCTTGGTTAGATTTAGGAAAAGATCATAGTTTGGATCAAAATAAACCTTTTCACAGTGTTAACCATGTGTTCGAAAGCTTTTCTTCCAGAACTTCTCCCACCTGACTCATTGAAGTGGTCCAGGAGAGCCTATAACCCAGGTGTAAATAGTCACATTGGCTGTCCACCCCAGCTGCATATAGTATCTGCCAAAACAATATCAGTGAATAATCTGGAGGATGAAGAAAAAGAGAAGAAGGGTAGTTGCTGGAAGATAAGGAAGAGGGGACAGATTGGAAGAGAGCGAACACAAGGGTTAATGGTATGTGTATGCGTACTGAGTCGAGGGTGGAATAATGCTTAACGCCTGTCTCACCCTCACAGTGTGTGTGAGGCAGGTGTGTGTGTATTTTAGAGGTGATGAACAGACAACAGCTTCCCAATTGGAAAGGATTCAATTTATACCCAATCTATCCTCTGTCTCCATCTCTTTCACAGACACACACTCCGTAGGACAGCTCCTACACTCCCTCTTGACCTCTGTGTGACCTCTGTCTGTTTCCTCTTACCTGCATGTCAGTCATATGAAATCAGACCGACAACACCGCTCTGCTTTAGCTCAGAGTTCTTGGCCTGTTCACCGTCCAACAGTTACGTAGGAGGATGAGGTTTTTCCCCCAAGTGCACAGTGAAATATTACAGACCGAGCTGAGATG